ACAAATAAAACAAAGTTCATATTATAGTTGAGAAATTGTCAAAATTTTATGATTTATAAATTCCTTGGTTTTATTAATTGATAAATATCATATGCTTATTGATTGTACCACTTGCATTTTCTAACAAAACTTCCCACAGAAAAAAATAGACTTATATTTGAAATCCAAAAGCAACTAAAAGAATTCACATTTTTAAGATCAGATTTTTCTGTTTCTATTTTATTATATCCCATACTTATTTTTATTATATTTTTTATAAGCATAATGATAAATTTTTTAAAATTGAGTTTATTGGTATATTTTAGGGATACAGTACAGTTACATTCATTGTTGGGATCTTGTACTTCTACATGACAGGTCTTGGTTCTCATTTTTTCCCCTTGTCCCTTCCCTCCTTTCACCCCCTCCTCCCCTCCCCATTTACAAACACTTTATTTCTATCTTTTCATTTTCTCACATTTTTTTCTTTCCCTTATTACCCTTCCCCTACCCATCCCACCTTCCCTACACCTTTAGCCCTTTTCTTCCCATTTCACAATGTCAGTTATCTCATTAGGATCTTATGTACTATTACAGTTTATTCACACCAGAGAAACTATTCAGAATTTACACATGTGTAACTTATTTATTTTACTTAGAAGTATATCCTCAATATGTATCCATTTTCCTATGAATGAATCTAATTTTTCATTCTTTTTTTTTTTTTTGGTACTGGGGATTGAACTCGGGTCCTTGCACTTGCAAGGCAGGCCACCGAACCTCAGAGCTAAATCCCCGGCCCTAATTTCTCATTCTTTATGGCTGAGTAATATTCCACTTTATAGAAAAACCACATCTTCTTTATCCAGTTTCCAACTGATGGGCAAGTAGGCTGTTTCCAAGTTTTAGCTATTACAAACTGTGCCACTATAAACATGGTGTGCATACATCACACATAATGATAGAATTTAACACCAATACATATGTAATATTCTTCCCAAACAAATGACTATGAATTAAATCAAGCATGTAATTTAGAGAAATCATAAGGTTGCCAGAGAAAATATCAATATGCCAGATGTGCACAATCCTATCACATTCATTACCATGTTTCTCATTTAATAGTGCACACATATGTGTAAAAACATACCCCCCACATATACACAATGCATATTTTCTAGAATACAATATATACTTTGGTATAATAAACAGTGCAGTGATGTGTGGAATGTTTGTGATTTGAGAAAAAACAAATATTATCTTTGAGAGAGTTGGAGAATTTGTAATATGTACCAGATACTAAATGATATTAAGGATTTATTAAAGTATAGTTATGATAAAATTTACTTAAAAATTAATATTCATCATCAGTAGAAAATAGGTACAAAGATATATTGATAACATAACAAAATTTGTCTTAACAAATTTCCAACCAAACAAGCTGTAATGACAGAAAAGGAAGTCTGTAGAAAGCAACAATGAAAGAAGAAAATGACAGATGGACCTTAATACTTTTCATACTACTCATATATACAGGTTTCATAAATTCTCTAATAAAAAAGCAAAGAAAATGAGAACCAAAATAACTCATCAATTTGGTAGAACAACATATAAAGACAAGGATTAATGTGTTGATAAATTTTAAAAATATGAAATGTAAAGCCTGAGATTTAGCTTGGTAGTGCTACACCTGCCTAGCCAAAACAATGTGCTGGGTTTAATCCCCAGCATCAGAGGAAGAAAAAGCAAAAAGAAAAAAAGCATATGTACTTTCTAACATACTCAAGAAATTAAAAATAAATTTGTTATCTCTTCCTCTTGAATTGTTCCCTTCACAAGGATGTAGTGAACTTCTTTGTCTCTTTCAATCAGTTTAGATTTGAAACTGACTTTGTCTGTGAATAAGATTGCTACCCCTGCTTTTTTTTTGGGCTCCTGTTACATGAAGAAGTTTTCTGTCCTTTCACTTTCAGTCTATGGGCTTCTTTTCGCACTAGATGTGTCTTGTATACAGCATATTATTGGATTTTGCTTCTTAATCCATTCTGCCAATCTATTTCTCTTGATTGGTGAGTTGAGGCCATTGATATTTATGGTTATAACTGATATGTACTAACATTATTGTCATTTAAAGTGATGTAGAGACTACTATTGAAAATTATCTGAAATAATGGTGCCACTGAGGCCTCAAAATAGCCAAACCAGTTATGTTTTGTGCACTCTGCACACATCAGCCACCTTTATGTATTTTTTAAAGAAGTTCATGAATATAAATTTCTTTTAATGAAATAAATTTGATTATTGTAATAATTTTAATCGGTATGGATAGTATTAATACTTAGGCAATAATTATTCAAATTCAAGCAGCTAACTAGATTCAATCCACTTGGTAAAAAGACTGAAAAGTGATTAGATCCATTTGCGTCACCAGTTCAAGCCTGTGGAAAGGTGTTAGTGGGGTTTTCTTGTACACCATAAATGGTTTCTCTCTCAAGATTTTCTCTCCACATTTTATCATTTTTGCTATATCTGGCCATGAATCTCTGTTACCTTTTTAGAACTTACAGATTCTGGATTAATAGTTTTCATCAAAATTGGGATTTTCAGGTATTATCTATCCATTTATATATATGGTTTTTTTTCAGTGTTGGGAAATGGGTCTTGGGCCTTGGCATGCTAGGCAAGCACCCTAGCACTGAGCTACACCCCATCAATAATTCTTTCTTCTTCCTTCTAATACTATTATATGTAGTTCGTGATTTATATTTATCTATGGATGTTTTTCATTCTTTCTCCTGTTTTTTGGATAGCTTCATTTGTACAAATATCTACATTTGCTGATTCTTCCTACTACAAGCTCATATCTACTGTTCAGCTCCTGTAATTTCACTGCAGTCACACTTTTAAACTCTGGAATTTCAATTTGGTTCTTTGAAGGTACTTTATTTTTGCCATACCTTCTTTTACCTCCAGCATAATTTCCTTATTTTTGAATAAAATTTTCGTGGCACTTTGGCGTGAACCCATCCCCTCCCAAGCCCCTGGTTGGCTTTAGCTGCTTGGCTGGACAGAGTTAAGTGCACGAAGCAGGCAGCCTGATGTTCCTCCTCAGGGTACTGTCACTCAGACTCCTCATCCCTGATGATAGTGACTATCTTTCTTTTCCTATGTACCTGCAAAAGCTCTGGCTGGTCACATCTACTGTGTTCACATCCTGCTATGGGCATCCACTTAGTGCTAGCTAACCAGCTTTTTTTGTTTTGTTTTGTCTTGAGGGGGTACTGGGGATCGAACTCTGGCCCTTGCACCTGCGAAGCAGGCGTCAGAACCACTGAGTCTAATCCCTGGCCCACCTCTACTGTTTTTGACAGTGCTTTGGGGACACTTTTTTTTTTTTTTAATGTGGTGCTGGGGCTAGAACTTAGGGCCTAATGCTAAGCAGGGGCTCTGTCATTGAGCTATACCACCAGCCTCAGTTGGTTTGATCCGGTTAAATTCAGATTATACACACACACACACACACACACACACACACAATTTCCTGAATAGTTTATTTCTTTAGTTGTTGCCCAAATAAGCTATAGGAATATGCAGGTACAGACACAAAACCCAGCTCCCTCACATTCCAAAAAGGGACCACACAGTCCAGGGCAGAGTTCCCATGGAACTCAGATAGGCAGACTCTTCTTTCCAGCTTCTAACCCTATGGTTTTTTGTTTCTTTTTGAGACAGGGCCTATGTAGTTGAGACTTAACTGGAACTCACTATGTAGCCCATGCTGGTCTCAAACTCACAGCAATCCTCTTGCTTCAGCCTCCCAAGTGGTGGGATTACAGGCGTAGGCAACCATGCCTGGCTCCCTACAATTATTACATAGCTGCCTGTCGAACTTCTCACTGATCTTTCTTTTGCTTGTTGCTATCACGGAACTACCAGTCTCCTTAATTGTGCTCCCCTGCTCCCAATATTTGGAAGCACGTATGACCTTTTCATCCTTCAATCTGCCCTAAACAGTCAGTCCCTTCAGGGATCCTTTTCGTTAGTTTTTAGTATGAAGCTGTTTGATGGCTGGCCATTTCCACTGGATAGAAAGCCAGTATCCTTGCTCCAGAGATGGGATGGGCACAGCAGCTTAGGACTGAAGCCACAATCTACACATGGGGCAGTGGTCTCTTGTCATTTCCTTTTATGCAACCCTCACTCTGAGGAATAAACTGGGCAAGAGCAATGAGGCCTGTGTTCTCAGTTCCTGAATGAGGAACTGGGGACTGGGAGGAGTAAGATGCTCCATACCTCTTGCTGGGAAAACAGCTCTTGTGACCTAAGCTGGGGGAATGAAGAGAGGTAGAATGGGGTCATGGCTCCAAAGCCAGACTATTTTAAATAAGATTTAGATTTTTTTTAGTAGTGCTGGGACTGCCTTGCACATTACAAGCAAGTATCTTACCACTGAACTATATCCCATCCCTGATAGTTTCTTAAATAAACATCGTTTGCTGCATGTTCTGATATAGATGAAATATGAAAATATTTATATTCCCAACCTAAAGTTTGATATGCCAAGTTTGTGTTCTCTGAAAACTCAAAAGAATGAATTCTTGGAATGACAGAGGTTAAGAGTAGGAAAACATTTGGGAGAATAGCTCCTGAGACGCAGAAGGGGACCCAAATGGGTAGTTGGGGACCCTACTTTACAGGGAAGTTTTATAAAGCAAAATCCATGGGGATGCAATGTGGGTTACATCTACATCAACCAATAAAGTTACAAGTATAGTTGCTTAGGTAACAGTGATCCAATAGAGAAACAAATCATGTAACAAGTGTGCATGAAAAGAACAAAGATTTCCCCTAGGAGATAATGGGTTTCTAGGAAATGATTAGTTACCTATCAGGTTGGCTGTTGTCTGTCTAGACTTCATTAGGCCCTGTGTTTATCTGAAGTGTGCAGCCCTAGTCATTTCACCTTTATCTTGAGGCCCAGTCTCCAAAAGATGTTTCCAGCCCAGTTGTGATGTTTCATCTTTTTCCTCTCTTGAGGGCCTAGCTCTGACTGCCTGTAATATGTCTACCTGACTTAGCTGTCTATATTATGACACTTTCCACAGACTTAAACTTTAAAAATAAGACAATTTTTACCACTTATGGTTATTTTATTGAGTTAGTGAATTTCCTCATGCTGCCATTCCAAGTGTTTCGTGATTACTTTTAAATGCCCGTCTTAAAACATAAGCCATGAGGAGCCATTAAATAAGGCAGTATTTTCACAACCTGAAATAGCTTTCTGCTGCATCAGTCGATTCAACATCAATATGCAGCATCCAGAATAAGTAGTTCTTTAATAGTTATTTAAATTCCACAAGTGAAGGGCTTATAATTAGTGTTCATTGACAAGTGCAGTGTGCCACACCAGTAAATGTTACTGGACCTATTATGTAAATAGCACTGAGTAAGATTTAGTCCTGGAATAGTTTGCTGAGTTTCTATTTCTAGCTCAGTAGATTAAAAACACAATTGTGAATGGTACAAAGATGTAAGACTCATACTGTGATAAAACCAATCTCAGGCCCTTCCCAGCTAATTTAAGAATTGGGAAATTTTCCTCAACTAGAACCTGACAGCCACACAGAAAATGGTAAAGATGCCTTTCAGTGTTGTGGAACTGTATAAAAATCCAGGATATGAACATTAGATGGTCAATGTATTAAAATAATAGAATTTTAAAAACACATTAAGTCTAAAGTAAACAGAAATAAACAGACAATTTACAAAGAATTGAGTTCTAATCATCATCAGAGTCTGAGTCATATTTCTTTCCTCGGATCGTTTTCTTTTCCAGCTTTGTGAAGTTTGTCCCAAATTTCTTCTGGCTCTGAAATGGTGGCTCCATTAAATTTCCACTAAAAATAAAACAAATACAAAAAAGAGAGAGAGAGAAAAAAGGAAAGCATTTAGTATGTTTGGTATCCTAAATTGCAAAGAAAACTATCTTCCTTACTATAACAAAGAACACACAAAATATAGAAAATTTTCTGGTCAAGGAAGAAGTGTAACAGTCATATTAATAGTTGACAGCTTTACACCTTTTTTTGAATGATTAATGTTTTAGATCAGCGTTTTCTCTTTTACCATTTATAGGCTGTACCAATACAATTTTAATACAATTTTTCTCCAAAAAGCACAGGAAGAAGTAAAGCGTATGGCCACGCATAGTAGTGCACACCTGTAATCACAGTACTTGGGAGGCTGAGGCAGGAGGATTGCTTCAAGTGTGAGATCAGCCTAGGCTACATAGTGAGTTCAAGGCCAACCTGAACTACACAGCAAGACCCTGTCTCAAAAAAAAAGATTAAGGGTTTTGTAATTGGTTCTGGATATGCTGAGCCTGTTAGGTGTGGTTTTTACTGTAAAAGAATAAGAATGACAGACAACGCAACTCTATTTTTGACAGCCTGCTATGACTGCTTTGGTGTTAATTTTTTTCACTTTCTTTTTAGTGAATACTGGTAACACAGATTTTTTTTTTTTTTGAGATAGGGTCTCACTATGCAGTTCAAAGTGGCCTTGAACTCACAATGTAGCTCAGGGTAATCTTGAACTCATGGTGATCCTCCTATCTCAGCCTCCCCAGTGCTGGGATTACAGTCAAGTCACCTGTCTTGGTTACACAGATTAATGGGATTAATTTTGGCCAATTCATACATATGTAAAACATACATTGATCATTTTCAATTGATTACCTTCTTGTTTAATATTTTTTAACACTTAAGTTTCTGCAGACATTAGCAAAACTCTTGGAATTCATTGTCATTAACCTGGAGTTGGCATGAAAACTTTTTCAGTTTTTAAAAATTCTCTTCAGTGACACTTGAGAAATAATTGAAATGAGAAAATTTCTTCTTTCACAAGTGTCTGGAAAGTTATTCTTGGCACCCACATCGATCTTGGCTTTCAACTTAATTTGCCACTGGAAGGCAGGCAGTATGGTTCCTTGGAGAAAGAGCTAATTCTAAGTGAGCACAATCTGAGCTTTCCTAAAACAGCTTGTTTGGACCAGAAAAGAAGTGGTCATTATAGGAACATGTTAAAGGGATAGAGCTCACTAAGAAAGGGGCTCTCGCTGGCCACATGTGGAGCAGTCTGAACTTCAAAATCGCAACAGATTGTAACATATGAATAAAATAATGAATAGTCCATACTGATATCACCGAATAGAAGTGTAACTACATGTAAGAGATGGAAAATGTCAGTCTTAGAAAACAGAACAAAACAAAGCAAAAATGTAGGGAGTACAGATTACTGCTGGTTAGTAGGTACTGAAGACATATAATATTATGAGACATAATTTTTGGGTATGGAGAACAATACTGCTACAAAAGACATTAATGGGATGATGGTAACATGTGAAGATCTATAAATGACATAATTTCTATTTTAATAATTTCCTGTGGCCACCTGTCAAGAAGATTCAAATAAAAGTGGATGGGAAGTGGAAGAGAAAAAGATGAATTTTTCTACTAAAAGAAAGGAACTATGAGTAGAATGATAGCTGCACAATTGGACCTGTTATTTTTTAATCAAGAAAGGCTGAGACAGGAGGATCACAAATTCAAGCCTGGCCTAGGCAAATTACTGGGACCCTGCATCAAGATAAACAATAAAAAACAGTTAGGGATGTAGCTCAGTACAAATTGAACCCAGGCCCTGGGTTCAATCTCTAGTACTGTAAAAACAAAATGAAACGGGAAAGGAACAGGCACAGAATATAAGATGGTACAAATGATTTCTTGTTTTTGGAGACAAGGTCTCACTATGTACTTCAGGCTGGCTTGGAACTCACTACATACTCTAGGCTGGCCTTACGGACAGAGATGACTGAGAAATGGAGGGTGAATTTCAGATTGTTTTCCAGTAGAGACTATCCTTCACAGTAAGTAAAAGGTAAGCTCGGTTTAGAAACCTTTTTGTGTTTTTCAGATTTTACATGTGAGACCTAATATTTTAAAATACAAACTTCAAGGCTTAGGGAGTAACTCAGTGGTAAAATAGTTTCCTAACATGTGCAAGGCACTGGCTCATATCTCTAGAAGTAAGCTGGGGGTAGCTTGGTGGCAGAGTGCTTGTGCACTCTAGAATGTGTTAAGTCCTGGGTAGGACTCCCCCAGCGTAGGGGGAAAAAAAGTTGCAAAGAATCTGCTGAGTATCATTTTGGGTTACCATTTACTACAGAATTAATTTCAATAACATCTTTTACTCCAAGACTAAGTTTTATCTGCAAATCTAACTTTGCTTATAAGGTCACACTAATGTATTCTTCAAAATATAATGCATTTTCTTAGAAACTGTGTCAACCACAGGCCTTAATTTTATGAATCTTAAGATTAAAGAATCAAGCAGGCATGACTGTGCATGCTCTGGCTGAAGGTCACCTGTAATTGAGGATGTCTGCACAGCCCAGCCTCCACTCTAAAGTTTCTGTACTGAAGTCATCTGTATTGCCCAAGTCGGTGAATCCGACAACATAATCTTGTGTTTTTCCATCTTTCACGAGTGCTAGAGTGGGGATGACTTTGATACGCAGTCTCTCACAGAGGAAGGGTGCTTTTTCCACATTCAGCTTCAAAAACTTGGTCTCAAGATGTTTTTTGGACAGGATCACCAAATGTCTGTCTAGTATTTTACACCTGTAAGTAACAACACACAGAAGTCAAAAAACCAAGCAACAGATTTCTTTTAAAATAAATGTTTTGTTTGTTTGTTTTTTGAGACAGGGTTTCACTATGTAGTTCAGTCTGGCCTTGAACTCATGGTGATCCTCCTGCATTGAGTACAGAGATAACAAGCAAGCACTATCATGTCTGACATAAAGACAAATGTCATTTTCAGACCATAAGTATATGAGAGGAAGCATTCTAGAAAGTCACATTTGCCCTAGTATTTATTAAAACAAAATACCAAAGTAATAAATATAGGCTTTATGCCTTTATGTCAGCCTTCCCAAGATGTCAGGATCATAGAGCAAAACATTAAGATTTTGTATTCTTAAGCCTGTTTCCTGCTATCTCACACAGGAAAGCTTAAAGAGGGACAAATGTGAACCTGACAGAACTTAGAACATACTTTTAAGACCCAGAAATGCACATGTTGTATCATACTCCAAAGATGAGAAAACTGGTGTCCCTGAGAAATATGTCCTCTAACTATGCACCTCTACAGTGAGAAACACATTAAGCTTAAGGATTACTAATCATATTTAGATAAATACAGTTCTAAAAAAGTGAAGGAGAGCTGGGCAAGGTGGTCTACGCCTGTGATCTCAGCATCTGCCTGGCTTTGAACTCGCAGAGCAAGACCTTGATTTAAAAACCAAAACTAGAATTGAAGGAGTGACTGACTGAACACCAACTATGAAAGCTGCTGTCCTTCCCTTAATTCCCAACATCATGGCTTTATTGTCCCAGTGGGAAAAAAAAAAGAAAAAAATAATTTGTTCTGGTAAGAAATTGAAGTATACATTTGTTTCTTTTTTGATACGGGGAGTCAAACTTAGGACCTTATACCTGCCAGGTAGGTGCAGCGCCGCTGAACTATATGCCCAGCCTTAAGCATACATTTCTAAGGTATTCTTGGAGTTGACAAGAAAATAATTAAGGAAACAGAGTTAATAAGAAAATAATTCAGGAAATTTATATGGAAGTATTACTTTTTTTCTCTTTATTACTGATTTTCAATAATATTAATTTGTTTGTTTGTATATTACTGACCTTTAAGCTACAATTGTTTAACATGCTGACCAGAACATTAAAAAGCATGACAGAGTATCATGACACAACTTAGGAAGTTGTTCCTTTTAGTTTTCTTAACTACTCAATGTTTTTACACACTGACTGTTGTGAGTGTCACTCAGGCAGGTATCACTTGAACCAGTCCATTCTTGTTTGCAGGCAATACACATGTATATCTGTTTGTTTTATAAACATAGACTATTCTTTGCATATATTTTATTTTGAACATTGTACTCACCTTTGATGTTTCTAGTGAAATCTATTAAGTAGTTTTGGTTATTTTCTTTTACTAATTTGTGTCTATTTTATTTGTGAAAAATAACCTATAATTTTGTGCTACAATCTATAAAAACTATTATAAGTGCATTAGATATAATTTTTATACTCCTGCAGATTCAGTGATACTCTTTTACAATACAAAATAGACATGTTTGGGACACTGAGACTGAATAGGAAGGAAGTGCCAAAAGATCTACAAAAGAAAAAACTGAGAAAAGGGACAAATGTTAGCATTATTAGACAGGAAAAGTCTGTTATGAAATGGAAAGATAGAAAAGTTATCTCCTTATTGTCAACTGTTCATAATACAGAAATGATAGAACTTCAAAGAAGAAACAAAACTAAAAGAATTCCAATAGTGGTCAATGATTATAATTCTATGATTGTGCTGACAAAATTGACTAACAGCTAAAGAGCTATTTTTTAATCAAAAAGTGAGGGAAAAATATTATGATAAAATATTTATGCATCTTCTGGACCAAACAATATGGAACTCATTTGCTATTTATTCAAAACAAAGGGGTTCAAAAATCATTTATAATTTAGATTAGGTCTAACAGACCAAATAATTGAAAAATATGGAATAATAAAATGCCAACCAGGATGTCGTCACTGATGTCCTCACCATTACATTTTTTTATTGAAATTATATCATAGAAAAAAAGGAAAAGCCAACACAACAGTGTAAAGTGTGTTCAAAGATAATAATGCAAAAAGAATTCGGAGACCAGATACTACTGTCCAGATTATAACACTGCATTGTATATTGAATGTTTTCAGATATACCATATATAGAAAAATTACTGAATAAATCTGATAAAATTGTCATATTTTTATACTTGTTATATTATAAAAATTATCAAAAAATATGCAGTGCTTGATCATCCTGTTTTTAAAGAAATGGACTGGTAGTGGTTAAACTTCTCTATTAAGCCAATGTATCTCTATGCAAACATCTCACTGTGTTTTAAGAAAAGGATGGGAACAGTTACCTGAATGTGGAGTCCCTGTAGAAATGGCAAACCACTTTTTTACTCTCCTTGACTTCCTGAAAAAAGTCTCTCTCACTAGGGATTTCTCTGTATTCCCCATGTCCTTTCAAAAGCCATTCCTAATTTGGACAGAAGTAAAATATTACACGTGACATATTTCATTTAGCACCACTTGATACTGTGTCACAATTATTTTGTAATCAAGTTGATTTTATCTTGTATAGAAACTCATTACTTTTAGCAGTTTACTTTCCTTTGGCGAGGAGGCTGAGACAGGGTCTCACTAGTAGGCTGGCCTCAAACTCTTAGTGATCCTCCTGCCTCAGCCTACTAAGTGCTGGGATTTCAGGTGTGTGCCATCACACCCAGCTTTGTGTCTCTGTGTGTACGCGCGCGCTCTTAAACTACTACAATCAGAAGCATTTGATTCAAGTTATTACAAAGCTTTTTTCTTTTTTTGTGGTGCTGAAGATTGATCCCAGGCTTTGCACAAGGCATGAGAACACTCTACTACTGAGCTATACCCAAGCCTTGCAAAGCTCTTAAAAATAATGTTCCCTCCACAGCAAAAAACCAAACTAACAAAAACCAGTCAGTCTTAGGGACAGAGAGAGATTATTGCAGCTCAGTGCTTGGGGATCCTGTGTGATCCTGAGTACTATGCAATCAATGAGCCATGTCTTAGGAAGAAAATGAGCCTACTCAAACGGGGTCTGGAGACCAGGAAGATCTTGCATCTCATCCAACTTCCCCAACCAATGCAGAAATCCCTTAGCAGCCCAGGCTGCCAGACCTTCTTGAATCCTGTAGCAAGAAGCTTAACGCCTCAACTAGAAGCCAGGTCTGCTTTTTAGGCAGTTGCTTTTAACAAAAAAGGAGTCCTGAACTTGCAGGCAGAAGGCATGGGTTTCAATACCTATTCTACCACTTATGGGACTAAGAATCCTAATACCTTTTCTGAGCTTCAATTTTTCATTTGTACAGTGGACACAATAAGGCAACTGTTTCATAGTTTCATGTTGTAAAAATGAAAGGGCAATCTACGTAGGAATGCCTGAAATAATGCCCGACCCAGTGCTTAAAAAGCATCTGTACTCATACTGTATCATTTTTAGAAAGGTCATATTACACTGTACTGCAGTATATCTACTACTTTGATGTGCAGATCGCAGTTTGGACAAAGATTCAACTTTCAATCTCTCACATGTCAGCCCTTCACATATCACATCTTCTCTAATTTTTTTTCCAGAACAAATTTAAGCTTTTGATTATAATGGTGGTGAGGATTGATCCTAGGGCCTTGCACATGGTAGGCCAATACTCTACCACTGAGCTACATCTCAGGCTTCCCAGAAAGATTTTTTTTGGTACCGGAGATCAAACTCTGGACCTTGTACTTGTAAAGCAGGAGGCAGAACTACTGAGCTAAATCCCTGGCTCCCTGGACAGATTTTTAAAAACAACAGATACTGTGAATTCAGAAAATTCTAGAACTGAGGACCCAAACATAACTACTACAGCACATGTAAATATATATGTAAGTTGTTAGGAGCATACTGTTATAGAAATTTCAGAAAGCAGGGCAGAGAGGTTACTTGTTTCTGCTGTTGAGCTTTCTTTAGGGCCTCAAGTCTCTTTTCTTTGAGCCGTTCCAATTCATCTTCATCCATTTGATCCAGTTTCTGAATTTCAGAATCCAAATGTTCCTCCACTAATTTGGTAGTCTGCAGCAGCTGGTTCTCCAAGACTTTTGAAAACATATCGACAGATGCATCTGCTTCCATTCTTTTGAGTTCGTATGGTTCAGCTTTCCTGCTGAGGAGGTTTACAAAACCTAAAACAATAAAAGGAAGCAACATTTTTTTCTCCTGTTATGTGTACTCCACAGAGCATTCTGCCAATAGCCAAGTACTTAATGTTAGGCTTACGAATATTTAAATGTTCCTAAATTTAATTTTCAGTAGGTTCTAGTCACACCAAAATTTCAGAAAAGTTAAACCTCATGTTTTAGCCATAACCAACTGAACAGAAACTAGAGTTGGTCATAATATATTGCACAGTAACTTAACATGTTTATGATGAGGCTGTTAATTCATGTCTCGCTGCTAAGCTGCTCTGAACCACAGTAGGTACAAGCATAGCTGTCCCATCATTTGGTAGGGGACAGTGCCACCGGCTGGTACAAGCCGCCCAAAGGGACAATCATGCAGGTAGTACCTCTGGTGATTCAAGCTGGTGGAAACTTGTTAAACGAATGGAAATATTTTTAAAATCAAACTCTAATTGAGGACTAAAACGTAACTACTTAGAGTAAATTTTAAGTGCTTCTGATTTAGTTTGTTTTACCATACTAAAGCCAAAACAAAGTCCATGACTAGACCACAGAGAAATGAGTACCTAGTGCTATGTACTGATAACCAGTGTTTTTACCAAAGAAAAAAGGAAGCAAAGCAGAAATGACTACAATGGGAGGGCATAACTACTGGACTTTACGTGTAGAAATACACGCCAAAATTCTACTGAACACTAAGTTGAGAAACAGGTGTCTTTTCCATGGTCACTATTCTAAGGAGTTTGTCCACACCTGTTTTTATTGTCTAACAAAATCTATGAGGTTGCAAATATTGATACTGGTTTCAATGTACTAACACTGTTCTTAACTTTGATGTTAAACTTCAAATACTTTTTGAAAAAAAAAAAATGTTTTGAGACAGGGTTAGGCTGGCTTTGAACTCACTGTGATCCTCTTGCCTCAGCCTCCTGAGTGCCGGTATTACAGGTGAGTGCTACCACACCTGGTTTACTTTTTGAAATACATCATTCCTTTGTGCCATCTTGGTTTTAAAACAGACTTCAGATTAGACATAAGATCTCGCAATTATACATTTTTCAATAAATGGAGTATTTACTGGCAACAGAAGCAATTTTATATGTGTCCCTGGATTATTACCACATAAATGATTTATAACTGGAAGTTACTGAATCTTAATAAACTACGATAGTTTTGCAAATACCACTAATGCACCATAAAAATCTGAATGAACTGTGATCTCATTCAGATTCTAACTCTGAATCTGGACTCATAGACCTTCTATAAATGTTGACATAAAGAGAAATATTCTTCTGGCAAACTTCACTCCTGATTCCATTTTCTTCATAGAAAAAGCAGGTGAAAGCTTAAGTGATTTCACCCTTGTATCCCAGAACTAGCAGCGCTTAGAACTCAGGTGTTCTAAACTCAATATTTAATGTTGAATGAACATACAAGGAGTAATCATAGGATATGGTGAGTGTTTAAGAATGTTATTACAGTAACATTGCCAAGAACAAGATGAAGGCAGGAGCCAGTGTGGTTGCCATACACCTGTAATTCCAGCACTTGGAAGGCTGAGGCAGGCTAGGTGTGCCAGCCGGGGTACATAGTGAGTTTGAGACCAGCCTGGACTACGTAGCAAGACTCTGTTCTCAAAAAAAAAAAAAAAAAAAAAAAAAAGACAGGATATTTTGAGGAGAATTAATAGCAGTATCTTACTATAATGCATTTTAAAATTTAAATATTCATCATATTTTATCATCACTCTGCATTCACCAAATGTTTACGGCAGTTTCTGTCAAATAAAAACATAACAGTGTGTCCTTATCCACCTTATTCACCAGATCTAGCATCTTTCAGCTTCTGGCTCTTCCTCCCTAAAGTAAAAATGAGCACAAAAGGTAAACATTTTGAATCAATTCAGGGATCCAAGCAGCCACCAGTGGGCCAAAAGACACCCAGGAAGGAGGAATTCCAGAACTACTTCAGAAAATGGCAAGAGCAATGGGATATGTTTGAAGTGAAGGGGAGAATTTGGAGAGGGATTTGTGGCAGTGTGTCTTTTACTGTAAGACACTTAAAAAAATTTAAACATTCACCGTATTTTTAAATCACATTTCGTAACCCTAGTTTTTGTTGAAATTATGAAGTGCAAAAGTACCTGAGTTAAAGAGCCAAACTATAAGCTCATCATCAATGCTATATAATTGAAAAGAAGCTCCATTACAAATATAGCACAAGATTTCCTTACTCCTTACCTCCCAAGAAAAAAAGTCAGTACGACTGTGGCCCTGGGGCGACTAGCTGAAGGTCAGAACCTGCTGGTGGAGCACGACAGATGCTTATCCTTTGAGTTTTACATGATGAACCCAGAATTGAGATAAGTGGGAACAGAAGCGAATAGCAAGAGCTGTTGGTGCAGAGGATGGTGGCCGCTGCACGCAGGAAGGCCTAAGGAGACGGTGTTGTGAACTCGGCAACTTCATTCTTCAAAACACAGCTTCTGATTCTTTTATATAGATCAAATGCAAGGATGGGAAGGGACATCCCGTATTCCCAAATTCCCTAACCAGTTGATTCTCCCACAAACACCCGCCCAAGCAATCAATGGGCCTCGTCCTTAAATGCTCCCCAGGCATCTTTCCAAAGATATTTTCTCCTCCCTCGATCCCCCGGGACAGATGAGGGCAATTCCGGGGCCCTAGACTTCAACGCCGCCAGGGGCGCATGCGCGACAGCCTAGGCCTCGACACAGACGCCATCAGGGCCGCGCCCCTCCCCCCGATCCAGTCCGAATGGAGCGGCTACGGGTCCATCAGTACAGGGACGCGGTGGCCGCAGATGTGACACCACCCACTGCCTCACCTGAACTCTCCGTTACGCCTGACAAGCGAAGGAGAAGCAGCACCTGAAAAGTGTCTACAGGCTCGCAGCAGCTGCCGGCGACTGCTAATCGGCCGTCACTCCCGCCTCCTTATTGGCTGTGATTCTCTCGCGACACAACGTGCGACACGTGAGGAAACTATGGGGGGGCGGGGCTTACACCGATTGCTACTACGCTTGCGCATCTCCCCAATCTTCCGGAACTAGAATTTTATAATCCTTTGTTTCTCTCCGGGTAAAATATTCCGGTGGGATCGGAAACAGAAGTGTGCTGGAAGTTGTAATTTTTTCAAGTGCCCAGGCTGGACTTGTTTGACTTCTTAGCTACTGTTCATTACTCATTGTTACATCAGAAACATGACGGCAAGGATCTTGCTCAGGAGTGGCACCTGAACTTCGTTAACATGTGTATGGAACATTTCTCCTTTTTCTAAATTTGAGGTATCATTTATGCGGTACAATGAAGCTTTAAATTGTTAGTGCTTATGATACAGACTTTCCTCGTTAAACGACCTACATGTTTAGCGACTGTTTGGATTTACGACCCGTGGGTTTTATTTTTTTGGCACAGTTCTGTATATCTTGCTGATAGAGCCTCAATCTCTTTTTTTGTACAGTACAACTTGTTTGTACACTACTGTAATTCTTGCTAATTGTACTGCACTGTACTGTAATATATGTTATATATTACAGTAATGCATGTAAGAGTGACGCAAATAAAAGCAGAATCATCAAGTTGGAGTCCTTTGACTATTTCTTTGCTCTGAACACTGTATTATACATAAAATATATTCTTCATTTAGCGACCAGTTCATTTGGTCACAGGAACGAGTCTTGAGTCTCGGTCGTTAAACAAGAAATGTCTGCTTTACCATCAGATCCAGAACGTTTTCACCACTCTATGAGCTTCCTTCCTGGCTTCCCTAACACGCGAGTTTTAAGAACTTAGCTTTGAGTATGAAGATTAAGCCCTGTGCTAGGGAATGGATGGAGATGGCCTTGTTATGTGTTTCCTTCGTGACCATACAGTTTATAATCTATGGACGTCCCTGACAGGGACACCGTTTTGTCCTGGTTTCATCTCCTTCTGGAACCCCAGAGGGTTCATCATTGGTTCATGGTGATTCTTTACCGAACTTGATACAGCTGAGAACCTAAAGGCCTACGGGACTTTAAATCTTCTGCCCACTTCTGAGCCAAATGCCGATATCCGAAGCCTGCATTCGCCTGGGGGAAAGTGTGAAGCCAAGAATGAACAGCCTCATTGTCTGCGTTCTAGAACCGAGAAAGTGCGGGCGTCGCTAGGGGGCGCTCGGGCTCCTGTCGGGCGGGAGTGTGTACGGGAGACGCTCTACTCCTAGCGCAACTCTCTATGCGCCGCGTCCTGCGTCCCCACGCCGAGGCGGCTGGGCGATGCGCTTGCGCACTGAGTGTTCACACCATATGTGCCCTGTTTCAGTACGCTGGTCTGTGGAGAGCCGGGTTCGAGAGGTGGCAGTGCGGAGGGACCGAGCTGAGCGGAGCCCGAAGTCGGCCGGAGGACGCTGGCTCTGTGAGAGACAGAGTAGAGGGGCTAGGGGTCGCGAGCACCGCTGACAAGCCATGGGGAAGAAACAGAAAAACAAGAGCGAAGACAGGTAGGCAGTGGCTGCGTCCGTACGGTAGCGGCCGCCGTGGGTCTGCAAGCTCGCGGGGTCCGCGGGCGCTG